AGAGAGAGAGAGAGAGAGAGAGAGAGAGAGAGAGAGAGAGAGAGAGAAGTGTAAAGAGTGAATTCGAATCGAAGACAACACAACTGACGTTGTACAGGCGTAAGATTTTCTATAAATAATTTGAATCGAAGAAACAGAAAAGAAACGACTTTTTTTTATTGCCACAACGAATGAAATCGAGTTGAGTATTACCAACACACAGCGTAGAATGGCGAGAATAACAGAAAGAAACGGCTCCGTTTGCTTAGATTGGTATAGATCATGAGGTACAGAAAAAAAAGAACATGTTAATTATGTATGGGCCGAATTAACATGTAGCTTTTGTTCGTTAATTTCATAATTACACACAGTGACACACAGTGGAATTTTTTTTTCACTGTGTTTCCATTCCAAATGTTTTGATTATTACGTTTCATTTTTTTAGACACAACCTTGTTGAAACTATAGCCAAAATTAGGTTCTCTTGAATGTCATACGGCAATAATTCCAAATTCTACGCTTTTTTTTTCTTCTTTGCTCAATTCAACAACAATAACCTGATTTATGTAAACAATTCTCCAAATTGGTATAGTATCAATGCAATGGTGACACACAGCGAAGCGACGATATCGTTTCAAATTTCTTTGTTTGCAAACCACATGTGCAATTCCAAAAACGATGTGTGTGTGTGTGTGAGAGAGAGGTATACAATATTGGCAATCTATTTCATTTATGGATATGTTTTTATCATGTGAGCGTGCCAAGGCTTCGAATGCTTGAACGAACGAACGAATGAACGACGCAACTATTGATAATGACATGAATTGAAATTTATACACATTGACTTAGAGCTCTCTCGTGTCGTTTTTCCATTTATATAAGTTTATCACATTGAATTGATGGTGTTGCTGCTACTGCCGTTTTTGAAAGGCACTCGCACTATTCCGTCTCTCTTTTTCCTCTTCTTCTTCTTCTTCTTCTTCTGCTTCTTCTTCTTCTGCTTCGATTTGATAGACGAGCGTTAGCTGTGAGTGTTGTAAACAAAACACAGATGATTTCAACGCGTTCAATGTTTACTTCAGCGCAGATAGTTGCATATAAATGCAGTATATATATAGTCGAGTATAGTACCTACATATATATTTGACTGTTTTGAAATGCTTCGTGAAATGTGTGCTCCGTTCATTTTTCCCATTATTATTATTGCTATGGCTGTGTCACGACTGTAACGATTGCAGCACACTTGCCGCTGATATTTCGAGCACGCTGTCTCTTACTCTCGCCAATAAACTACTTTAGACTTCTCAATTTACAACACTCACTGTAAAATAAGTCGCGTCGCGTCGAACATAGCTTCTTGAAATATAAAACAAAGTTACCATTTGCTTTTTGCTTTGAATTCATTATTTTCGTGTGTTTCTATTATTTCAGTTCGAATTTTACTACCGCAGCAATAGAACCGTTCAAATTTGATCAAGTCGTAAAATTTTTTTCGTAAGCTTAGAAAATCGATTGAAGTAAAACAAAAGAAGAAACAAAGAAAGAGAACGAAAAAAATGCCGTCTGACTCATTCTCCAGGTAAGAATCGGTTTGCACTCGAGAACTGCGTTCATCCAAATCAAATGAGTCAATGAAAATTAATTGGATTATATTTTATTTTAAAAAAAATAGAATGGATTCGCGGACCTCTGAGTCCGAATCGGTGAATGGTGCTGAAAGTTTTTTGAGCACATCGCCCGGTGCTGCATCGACCAGTTCACGGGAGCGTTTGGACAGCGACAGTTCGGATCGGTAAGTAAATGAAGAGTGCTGAAAGTGTATTGAACCAAAACAGAACAAGCAACCGCCAGGGTAGTAGCAAAACATGAGCAATGCTGTTAACTCCAAAAAGGTGGTTATTCACCCCGTCTCGTATGAGCAACGAAATTTCTGGCGCACAATTCTTTTGTTGTTGCGTGCGTTTCTTTGTGTATACGCTCGTTCGTCGTGTTATTTTTTTTTTCTTTTTCTTCGCTCCATACATATATTCGCGCGTTGTGCTGTGGCCCGTTGTATAAAAGTTTGCGAATCACAAAAAACTCGCGAAAACTACGCCGTGTTGTAAAATGGATAAAAAAAACCACTCGTTTTTGCGTGCAACAAACACATTCGATTCTATCCCATATACATCATTTTTGTTCATTGCTTTTCGCTATTCGTTGCTGTTTACCGCTAAAAATGTCGTTTCTTCCATATTTGGATGATTGAAAGGCCATTTATCGACTGATTGTTTGTACGGTTTCATGCACGGCAATCAATTTAATTCGTTTTGTTCTCTTTTTTCTCTCATCGTCTGTGAGAATCAATATGAGCAAAAGCATTTCCGTAATCGCATACATGATTCATAGCAACATACAGCGCTAGGATACATTAGCCTTGAAACGGTTCTTCTTTGTTAATGCAATGTGACCTTTTGTGTCTTCCCTCAACGGAGTTGCCCATAAAAATTGATGCTAATTTTATTATTGCCATTTTTTTTCTCTCCTTTCTATCTTCGTCGTTGCGAACACAGACAAACACGTTTCGTTTTGCCTGGTTCGGCGGGTAGTCCTCCAAAGATATTGACCTTCGATGAAGTTCGCGATGCCATTAAGAACGTCGAAGACATGCAGCTGGCCCATGAAATTGCCATCAATCCTGATTTTCGTCTTCAGCCATATGATCCACCCGAGAGCAGCTTGGAGAAACGCATCAAATCCATTATGCATGACATATTTTGGGATCATTTGCGCGAACAGCTGAATGCTGATCCACCACAGTATGATCACGCCGTTGCATTGCTTGGCGACATCAAAGAGGTAAGCACATCACTTCAGACTTCTGACTTATAAAGATGTGCATTCAACACATTCAATGAACATGTTCAAAAAATGAATTTTTATTATCGACAAAAATCGAATCTTTTGCAGGGTTTCACTCACATTATTTCGAAAAACAATCAAAAGGCATTGGATCGCATTTGCGAAGTACTCGACGAAAAAGTTATTCGTCAACAAGCCGAACAGGGTGTTCTCGATTTCAAAGCGTATTCCAGCTTTATTATTCAATTGATGGCCAAATCATGTGCTCCGATTCGTGATGACGAGGTCAACAAATTGAACGAAATCGATGATGTGGTCCTCACTTTTCGTCGAATTCTCGAAGTTATGGATCTCATGAAATTGGACATGGCAAATTGCCTCCTAGATGCAGCTCGACGTGAAGTCATCACACATTCAGTTGAATATGAAAAACTCAAATTTAACGAATTTCTCAAGGCCTATCCAAGTGAATATTTTTCTTTCTATGTTTTTAGCTTGTGCCAATGATTTTTCAAATTTTTTCAATAATTCACACTTTAATTGCTGTGTATTCATTTATTCATTAATATTTGTATTCTTATATTAGGTGGTTTCCCAGCAACCGAAGCCTGGCTGCTCCGGAACAAGTGCATCGATTCAAATGAACGCCACGCTAAGGCAATCACATTGATCAACGCTTACATGGAGTTCCTTGAATGGAACACCGAAAATGAATATCCAGAAATTATGTCAATGGATTTGGAACGATTGCAGGAACTTGCTGGTCGAGCTCTTCGTTTGTGCTGCATTGCATCGATTGTTGCGATTGCATCAAGTGTGCCCGTCATCGGACAACAGACAGCTAATCGCTTGGGTTTACTCAAGCAAGTTCAAATTCTGTTAGAAAATGTTAAAGATAACAAGTAAGATCAATGGATGTTTTTCACTTTGAACTAGTTTAGTTTGATCTATGATTGTACTGGAATATTTTTCAACAAATCTATTTTTGTAATAATCATGTTATTAATTGAATTCATTTTGCCCTTGTCTTCCACAGAGAAATTGTTGAAGCCATCGAAAATGTATGGTTGCAAGTAAAATCCGTGATTGTGTCAAAAATGCAGGAGAAAGAGCAAACATTGTCTGTGGACAGCGAAAATACGCTGAAAGATCAAATCCTATCGTTGTCAAACAAAGAAGCGCCAGTGCGTAAGCTGATGTGGAGACGTTTAATCGCTTACGTGCGTTTAGTGAAAACAAATAAAACAGTACCACCAGTTCCACCTGGCTACACCGATCTCACTGACGATCTTCAATCATTAGCCAGTACATTCAAACGCTTAACCGTATACAATTACTCTGTGTTTGGTGAACATTGCGAGAAAATCCTGGATGATTTATCGAAACCAAGCACAACAGCTGAGTCACAAACAGAGCCCACTACATCGACAAATGAAGTGAAAACTTCAGACGCAAGCACTTGAACTGCGGATGATTTTCTGTGCGACAAATGCAAATGTGAGAGAGCCAAATGGCAACTTATCCACTGACCTTATATTTTTCGCCGATTTGGTCAAAATTAACATTTCCTCCCCTTTCTTTGAGGTTAGACGTAGACGATTTTGTTTCACTGATCTGAGAGTATTTTGGATTAGAGAAAATCCCTTTTGGATTACGTTTTAATTGTAATTTATCAAGTGTTTCTGAAACATTTTTTTCTGAATTGTTTTTGATTATTCATAGATGAGTTTCTTTTTTATATATACTTATGGTTTGATTCCAAAAATGTGTGTAATCATTCTCCAAATCTAATCCACATAATGTATTTTCTAATAAAAAAACAATTGAAGTAACATGCGCAAGAGATTGACTAGCAATTTATTGAATTTACGAACTAATTAAGCCGTAGGAAAAGAGTGTGCAGACTATTTAATGGGAATAAAAAAACCTGTACTAGATTGGATAAGTGATATTGTAGAAAAACGAGTGACTACTGACTATTCATGTTTACTAGAACAAATATATATATATATATATCGAAACTATTTTAACTAAAATTGCAATTGTCTTTCATTTCAATCGTTTCGATAGCCGATTAGATAGATCGTTTCAGTTGAGATTAAACCAAATGACGTACATTTTAAGATGAAATATCTTAACCATAACTATGATTTTTTTATTTATAAAAAAATTGATGTAAAGAATCAAGTTATAAAATACTTTGACATGCATCAGTTCATTGACAGTGCCATTCAAAATGCTGGTAAGCATGAAAATAGCTAAAATTGATTTGAAAAAGTATAAAAAAATGATTTTCTGAATAAAATTTCAGCAAGTAAATAGGTAACGAAGTAAGTCCGTTCTAATTTATGAAAAAAAATGATGAAAATGTTTTTGAATGAAAATGTATGGGCTATAAAAGTTGGTCTGCTTAATATCTATGAGATCATATATGATCTATAGTCATTTCGGTTTGTATGTTGAAAAAAATGAGAAATTGAAGCAAATCATTGTCTCCGTTGAGAAAATTCGGTGATATCTTTTCCAAATCGTCTTTATTGCCTTATCCACAGACGGTATCACCTAAATCAAAAGGAAAAAAAAATGTTTAACAATCATATATCAATGCAATAGGAAGCCGGAATCAATTCCATTGATTCGAATAATTCTCTTACCAATTTCAGAACAGGGATTTTCAGCATGTCATCGTCATATCGTTGCTCTCATTTGAATCAATCACTAGCTTGCGTCTTTTCCGTTCCAATTCTGATTGGTCGGTATCACGACTTGATTCGCCAAAGCTCTGTGGGGTAAGACGTTATCATTATTTTCTTATAGTGGAATTATCAGACATTTTTAAATTACTTACCTTAAAAGGTGTTCTTGGAATAGGACCGTCGTCATATTTCCCACCCATTGTGGTTAAACCTGTTGTTTTGGCATCGGTCAATTCATCGAGAACTGAAGGATCGTCTTCAAAGTCCACGATCTCTGGTACTCTTGGCTTTGGTTTGGGCAACTAAGAAGGAAATAAAGAAAAATTGGTGTTTCGAATTTCATTTTCAATATCTAAAATCAACTTTTTCATATGCAATCTTACCGAATTTTTAGCGTTTTCATAAAATCGTCCTAAATCGCTAATCATTGAATTGAACGCTGGATACGATTTCTCCAGGTGGACCTTAAGCCAACCAGATATATTTTTCTGGTTCGAGTTCGTATAGAATCGATTATCACAAAGCAAAATTGCACCATAATCGTCTTTGTGTCGAATAACTCTACCGATAGCCTGATTGATGGCTCTTGATGCGCTCAGGTTATACCATTCATCCCCCGACATCATTTCCTTGTCTTGCCTACGCGTATCGTCCAAGTACTTTTTCTTCAACCTAATCTTTGGATCATTGCATGGGGCAAATGGGATGCCAGTTACAATGACAGCTCGACCATACATATCGGCAAAATCCAAGCCCTCGCTCACCTTGCCTCTCATCACAGCCATGAAAATAGCTCCATTGCTATTAGGTTCATTGATCGTCGCGTAATAGTCTTTCATTGTGGCTACAAATTCTTCTTTTGGCCCTTCTCGAGGTTCTTCAAAAATCCGTTTTTGTTTGTTGATGGATGACCACATATCATCGTTGCTTTGCCAAAATTCTTTGCAAATATTCATAACTTTGTATGACGGAAAAAATATTAAAAGGCCATCGGGAACCACTTTCGAAAATTCCACTATTGTTCTGCCAAGCGAACGTAAGTAAGCCTCGTTCTCCCTATGAATTTAGTGGAAAATGAAATGCATGTTGTCACTAGCAATCAAAATGTTAAATACCTATTATCATAGTTGGACTTGAGCATTTCATTGTCTGGGCCACAGCTCACAATTTTCACAGATACTTGGAATGGTCTCAAAATGTGCGGATTTACCAACTGGACGGGATTCGGAATTTCCATCTCAGTTATTAGTGGTTTCAATGGAGCCAAAGTGCCACTGGTGAAAATCAGACTTCGGAGATTTTGCTGCAGTAAATATTGCATCCTGGAAAAAAGAGATTTTTGGTTTAGATAAAAATAACTTGACCAAAGGCGACAAAAACAACTAAAATGTAATACCCAAATGCAGCACTAAAGCACCAAACATTTATGATTTTGGCTTTTGGATGTGCTTTCTCAACAGTGGTCACGCCATATACAGTTGTCTTTTTGTCCGGTTCACGTTCAATGTAAATTTTGTAGCATCGAATGACACGATCGCGTAGGTGTGGAGCCGAACTTGAGAAAACGACTCGCAAAAAACTTGACAGTGCTCGTAAACCAATGCCGCTCGGACATTTCTGTGAAACATATCCACTTTCTGTAACCAAAATCTGATTTCTCGACGCATTTACCAAAGTACCGATTAGACCGTGCAAATGGTCAAGAATCGTTTCATGGTTGCTTTCATTTATCTGTAATCAATTGAATAAAACGAACATGTATTTGAAATTCATTACTATCTACGTAAGAGTGATTCTATAAAATTGATGTTTCTTACTTGAACTTTTTTCAACAACTCAAAAATGAAATTGCCATCGTAGGAATCTCCTCCAATTGAGCCACTTTTCATTTGAATTTTGAATATTTCAGTTTCCAGCTTTTGAATCAATTCAGCCAATGCGGCTTTATCCTTTTCAACCATATTTTCTACTTGTAGTCCGTTCTCAATAATCTGAAATATTGATGATATTTTCAAAAAAAAATCCGATCTTACACAAAGATGATAAACACTTACATATTTTATATCTCGAATAGCGATAGCGATTGTTGTGGATGTAATTATCGTGGAGGCAGACTCTTCACACATATTTTCGACGTTGTGTGACTCATCAAAGATGACAATTGCATTTTTCAGGTCAATTTTATTGGCAAAACGTATTTTCGGATCAAGTAGATAATTATATGGCATGAAGACAATATCCGCTCTTTTCGCCAACTCCTTTGACATATAGTATGGGCAAGCCGTTTCTAGTTGTCCAACGCGACCCAGTTCTTCAATATCTGGAATTGTGCATTTGCTCATTTCCAAATGTTCGATGCCAGCAACTACATTTGTGAAGTATTTGCATCTCATGCTTTTTTTCTTCTCATCCTCTTCTATTTCTTCTTCAAGTTTTTTCGGCGACTTTGTAAATGATTGGCAGATATACGTTTTGTCTGCATTTGACTTACACTTCAACTCCTCGTTAATACAAAGTTGATCACGTGATGCAACTATGCCAGCCTTCATGTAACTGTATTCCGTCTGTTTGAGTTCATTCATTGCTGCGAAATCAAGTAATACATGTTGAAAATGAAAAAAAGATAGCTTCAAAGACTGATTTATTCTGATAGAAAAAGGGACCCATTGAAAATGTCACCTTGTGATAGTTGCGAATGTGTTCGAGATGAATAGATCACTTGTGGAAAAAATGGTGAAATGTAATTTCGCCTGAAAACATCGTGCGTAAAATCATGAGCGTTGCTTTCTGACTTTATGTCACCCATGGCGCCAGACTGATTGTCTTTCTTGACATTTCTTTTTTTCTTTTCCTTTAACTCTTCAACCCAACCAAGTACAGAACATAGCAAACTAAGAGTTTTACCAGTACCTGGAAATTAACACAATGAAAGAAATGTCCACAGCTTTTTTTTCAACAAATAATATAATTAATGCTACTTTTACTAACCAGTTGGAGACTCCAAGAAAGCATTGTGTCCGCTGTCCAACGTTTCAATCACTTTTTTCATATATTCACGCTGAACTGGATACGGTTCAAATGGAAATTTCACCGAAACATCATTTATATCAAACACGGGCATTTTGATATCGATATTTATCGAGAAAAAACGGAGTTTTTTTCATTTATTTTTTAATAAAATTGGAATTCACCGAAAGTGCTGCAGTTGCCAATGGCAACAAGTGTTCAACTGACATAACGCAAAGAACACAAACGTGATACCATCGACGGATATGTCGATTGGCATAGGACTTGACGCAACGTGTTATAACTGATCGCTACGTATGCCTTTGCGTTTCGTAACCAGTTTCGGTTGCCACATGCAATGCAGGAATAAACATACACTGGCACGCAAACTGACAATGCACGCAAACTGACAAACAATATTTGAAAAAGTATCATGTTGAGGACCAGGGCTTAAGAATCGCACATTCAGTTTACAGTACAACTCGTTTCAGTGAGAGCCACAGCGCTCGTGTGCGATGGTCTTCTCATAACAACTGAGTTGTGTGCGCACACTGCTCACTTACTTCTCCTCTGCTTTGTGCGGATCTTCGTTCGGTCGAGAAAAAAATGATAAGAAGAAGAAGTAGTAGTATGTTCAACATAGCCGAAATACAGGCACAAACATGTTTATTTTGTCTGCTGTGAGTATTTGAGCGCACATTAAACGGACAGTGGTAAACTCATTTGTATTTGAGAACTTGTGAACTGTTCGTCGTTCGTTCGTGTGCGTGTAGCGCACACGATATTGTGATGCATTGCGCTACTCACAGGATTCACTCTGTGCGATTCTTAAGCCCTGTTGAGGACTATGGGTGTGTATGCGGGCGCCTGTATCATAAAAAATATGTTCTTAACTGTTTTCATATTTTTAGGGGATTGTTTGGATGATAGTTAAATACGAACGAAAAATTTAAAATGAAATTTACTGAAGCAAAACAAACTGTAATTCTGTTTATCGTTTTGAATGAATATTATCTCTTTCTGGAATGAAAGTAAGCAAAGTCTTGAAATTAGGGTTTACAAACGTTTCGACAAATACCGCAAACGGTGTTATAAAAACGTTATTTTTCTGTAGTGTTTTTTTTTGACAGTCCAAAATACCGCAGAAATAACGATAAAAAACGAAAAAAACGTTTTTTGGGCGGTATATAACGGTTCTGTAAAAAAACGTTTTTAAGAAACACTGAAAAAAATAACGCGTTTTTAAACCCTACTTGAAATAGATTCAATATAAAAATATGTATTTTCAACTTTTCAAAGGAATGAATCTTAATTGTATTGAAATGAAAACAGCAAGTGAAGATTGGACAAGAACTTCACAAAATTCATTCAGTTTGAACATTTTTTAACAAAACACGTACAAAAAATGAAAAAAAAAAAACGATTAATTTCTTAACTTTATCTCTTGAAAACATGGATGAATTTACGTGAAATTCTATCAAAATATGCTTAACAAACATGAAATCACTCCAATAGGCCATTTTTATTATAACAATTTCATTTGTAAATCAGCGTTAACGAGTCCTAATCACGCGATTGAATAAGTGCTTCAACATCATTCTCAAAATTCATTCGGTGCATCGGTTTGGTGAAAGTTATCATGCCTTTTAAATCGTAGGTCCAGCATTCGTCTGCGAAATTTTTGAACAATGAGTCACGGTATGGGCCATATTCGCTGTCTTTATCATATTTCTCAACAATTTTCCAGAGCTCTCGATACTTGGCAGTGCCTAATCTACGTTTCATCTGGAATGATCATTTAAAAAATCGAAATGTTAAATATGGATGAATCATAAATGTTGAAGTCAGATTAAATTATTGCTATTCCGATCAATCGAAGGCATCAAAGAGGCCAGATCGCTTACAATTTCTATAAATGGATTTTTTGCGATTGATGGTGAATTTTGTTCGTTGTCTGAGTCCAAATCTGTGCCAGTGTTACATTTTCTTTTTTTGCGTTGATTTTTCTGGTCCTGTGACCCATCGCTCACATCGCTGATTGAATTCTGTAAAATCGTCAAATTATTATTGCGAAGATATTATCATACAATTATTCTGGTCTTTACTTGTGACGTTGATGGTTCATCGATACGTTCTTCTTCATCCGAATCAGAGGATTCCGAGTCGATTGGCGCCTCAATGCTATTGGCATTCATTTCAAATATGTCTTTAATGTCCTCTTCTGGAGCCACTTTTGCTTCGGGTGTCGGCAACTGAAAGCAAAATTCAATGTTTAAAACCCATTCCAACAAAAGAACAAAATATGTGTATTTTAACCTACTCTTTGCTTGGCCACAGTAAAAAATTTCGATACATTTTTGAGCATTGAATCGAATGTTTCTCGTGAATTTTGGTTATGCAAATGGTTTTGGATCCAACCGGATATATCATTTTGATTCCTTTGCTCATGAAATCGATTATCACAAAACAAAATGCCACCGTAATCGTTTTTGTGCCGAATCACTCTGCCAATAGCTTGATTGATGGCTCGAATCGAGTCCAAGACGTACCTATCAAACAAGAGCTTTTTTTATTTTCAAGAAAATAAATTTCATTTCGAGCACGTACCAATCGCTTCCAGAAAGCATTTTGTTATCCCGTTTGTTTCTTTTAGTCTCGTTCAAATACTGTTGTTTCAATACGACTTTTGGATCTTTGGCCGGTGCAAACGGGATGCCAGTAACAATGACAGCTCGACCATACATATCGGCAAAGTCCAAGCCCTCACTCACTTTGCCTCTCATCACAGCCATGAAAATAGCTCCATTGCTATCAGGTTTATTGATCGTATCGTAATAGCCTTTCATTGCGGCGATAAATTCCGCTTTTGTCTGTGGCTCTGAAAATATCCGTTTTTGTTTGTCAATTAATGACCAAATGCCATTTTGTCGCCAAAACGTTGCAGATTTGTTCATCAGTACGTATGACGGAAAAAAAACTAAAAGGCCATCGGGAACGAATTTCGAAAATTCCAAAATTGTATTGCCCAGCGATTGTAGATATTCCCTTTTATCTCTGTGGGTTGAATGAACAAAAATTGGCTCATGTATTACTTCAAAATAGGAAAATAGCTAATTGAAAATTCTCACTGTGAATTCATTAGAATTTGTTTACCATACCTATTCTTGTAACAGGAGTCAAGAATCTCTTCGTCTGGGCCTCTACCAACAATCTTAACGTGAACTTGAAAATTCTCAACGATATGCGGATTTTTTAGCCGAACTGGCATCGAAATTTCCATTTCACTTATTAGCGCTTCCAATGGTGCCAAGGTGCCACTCGTCAATATAAGACATCGAATGCCTTGGTCCAGCAAATATTGCATCCTGAAAGTAGTGGTACGTTGAGTAAATTGAGTAAAAACAAACTTGTTTATTAGACGAGTTGAGTAAAAATCCGATGAGCTCACCCAAATCTCGGGCTAAAGCACCAAAAATTTACAACTTTCGCGTTTTTATTGGGCACTACTTTCGTTGTTGAGGTGCTTGGTTGGTGTTGATTTTGAGGCTCACGCTCAATATAGACTTTGTAGCATCGATCCACCTCCTTTCTTAGATCTGGAGCTGAGCTTGAAAAGACAGTTTGCAGAAATCCCTTGACTGCACGTAAGCCTGTAACATATTTCCGCTTTTTCGCTGACATCTCCACCAAACATCCAATTATTTTGTCCAGCAAACTGATCGTGAGTTCATGATTATTCTCGTTGATCTGAAATGAATCGGTTTAATTTTAATACGATACTTGAAGAGACTCATTTTCGAATTATAAATGTTCGTCTTACTCTGGCTTTTTCAAGCAATGCAAAAATATAGCCGCCACCATGTGTATTCACACCATTTTCCACCATAGAAATGTTATCAACTTCTTTTTTCAAGCTTTGAATCGATGACTTTAGAGCCCGTATATCATCAATGGTAAAATCAATGTCCACCGGTTTTGATTTGTTCAAACAATTGATGGCCTAAAACATGAGATCGATAATGATGAAATAAATCACTTATAAATAACATAGTTTCATTAAATTAGATTGAATCAACTTACATATTCCGCATTTCCAATGGCCGTATCAATTTGTGTGGATGTAATCAGAGTTGAAGCACTTTCTTCACACACCTTTTCGACGTTGTGTCCTTCATCAAGTATGATGATTGCATTTTTCAGGCTGATTTGGCTGGCTTTGCGTATTTGCGGATCAAGCAGATAATTGTACGGCATAAAAACAATGTCAGCTTGTTTGACTTTCTCTTTCGATACATAAAATGGGCAACACTGAAGTTTCCTTCCAATTCGTCCGAGATCTTCAATGTCAAGTATCGCATTTTGGCGCAAATCGGGTTTATTCAAGCTCTCATTGACGCGACTGCGGTAGGAACACTCGTTTTTTTTCACTAGGCTTCTGCACATGTGAATCTTATCAGAATTTGGCTTGTCTTTCAGTTCGGGTTTGATGCACAATTGATCACGAGACGCAATGACACCTGCCTTCATGTAACTGTAGGCACTTCGTTTCAGTTCATTCATTGCTAAAATGATAAAATGTGGCACAATTAATTTTTTAAGGTCAATTCGTTTTGTTAGGTTCATGAAATGTTTTTATATCGCATATTTTCTAGATTCCGCCAATGAATTACCTTGCAAAATTTGTGAGTGAGTACGAGAAGCGTAAATCACTTTGGGAATTTTCTTCGGTTCATTGGCCAAAGAATTCTTTGAGTTCACATCATAGAAAGAATGATTGACATTATTTAGCAACTCTAGAATGCTTGCTGATCCTGTTGCTCCCATTCCTTCTTCGTTTTCACTTGTTCCTTTGACAAACCTTAGACCGCGCTGGTTTTCCTTTTCTTTTTCAATCCAAGCAAGTGTTGCGCATAGCAAACTTAGAGTTTTGCCGGTGCCTGTTGACAATTGCAAAAATATGAAAAATAGGCAACAACAACTTAAGTTATTACAACGAACCTGTTGGTGACTCCAATACTGCATTTTCGGCTTTCGTTAGACTTACAATCACCTTTCCCATATAGTCGCGCTGTACTTGATACGGTACAAATGGAAATTCTACCGACACTCCGTCAATATCAAACTTTGGCATTTTTACACAATGTTCATTACACTTTTCAAAAATATTTAAATTCTATTAATCTAACACTTGACATTTAATTTAAACAAAACAAAACAAGCCGTTTGGACAGTATGAATTATTTGACTTTTCTATTTTTCTATATGACAACAACAACAACAATGGTGCAGTGACATTGACGTTTGTTTTTGTATATACATACTATGCACTGGTATGCATACAGCTGAACGTTGCGTGTTTCGTTATTATCGTACGCTTGCCGCAATGGCCTGTAAGAACAAACGGTATTTATGCCCATTGCACATTCATATTTATGCTTCAACAAAAAAAAATTGTAGGTACATTGCCAAATGTGAGCTTCAACTATTTGAAATATATTTTCAGTTAACAAATAGAATAAATAAAAAAAGATTTCATTAAATCGCCTCTTTTGTTGAGAAAATTCTTAGAAGAAAGCTATTTTCATTCGAATTAACGTCATTTTTATTCTCTGTATGTTTGTTCAAATTTTAAATGACTTTTTCAAGTATTTTTAAATTATGTAATTTATAAATACTTTGGAGTTGTCTTTATTATCAAGCTAATGGGAAACATAAGCTGAGATCAACTAGTTAGTTATGAGTTCCATTTTTTTTAAATCACTGTCAATGTCAATTAAGAATAATGTCATGAAAAATTTTACCGCTAAGTCAACACCAATTCGAATGAGGTGACTATTCCAGAAACTTGTTGAGTCACATAATTCACATTGCACATTGCACATTGCACATTATCTGATAGAGACAATTTAAGTGTATCATAAAACGGATGTCATCGAAAGAAAGAAAAGTGAAAAAGAAAATAATATTTAATACGTATGGGAATTATTGTGGATTTTCATGCGTGTATATTGCAAAAGTTTTAAATAAATATTAAATGTGAAAATATTTTTTTCGCCCTGCAAAGTGTACTGTTTGTTACAACAGTATTGACTCTATAAAGTTTAAAAAAACCACGCTGCAAAGCATTATCAAGCATTAAAAAAGAACGTTTTTTTTTTTCAATAAAAAAATTAAAATTTGAATAATTAAAAAAATATCTTCATAAAATACCATCCAACTAATAAAGATGAAAGTTTCTAGGGAAAAAATGAAAATTGGAAATAGGTATGTATGACGCATATTTATTATCATTCTGCTGATAATTTCAAGAGTTGCAAGAAAAACACTATCTTATCAAAAATGTTCTAGAAAAAAGAAGCAGAATCGGGAACATAAGCGATATCGTCAATTTAGAGAGTCATGTGTTCAATCACATTGAAATGTACAAGTGGGAGAAACAAGACAGGAAACACAACATGAACCAATGGCAGGGAACAGCAGGAAACATTTTCGTAGTCAAATTGAAGAGTCGCGCTCACATCTATACCCAAGGTGTGAATATAAAACTAGATTCTACGGAACAAGTGCATTTGAAATGTCAAATCCAACATTCTGGGGAACGTATTTTCGTACATCACCAGGAAGAAGCAACAGCGATCGAATTGCTTCATTGGAAAAAGCCAAAATTATTAAAAATGAAAATGTAAGAGTAGACGATCCGAAGCATGTAAAAGCATCGAAAGCTGGTTGTTTCAAACATCCATTTGAAACTTATAAAGATAAGGATATATTTGTGACGAGCGACCCGGAAGTTGGAGAGACAAAACATGAAATGAGAATGCAACAAGATGCAGAACTAGAAGACAATGGACACTTCTATCTGTATAATGATATGCTTCAATATAAATGTTCTATGTGTGATGTTGTAGTTAAGCAGTTTGAAAAAATGAGAAAGCAAAAAAATATTGACGTTTATTACGAAAATGATTATCCATGCGTCATGGTTCAAGTGAAAGCATTTAATGGAAAAAAGAAAGAGCAGAGTAGCTTATATAAAATAATAGTGGCATATTTTACCGCTATAACGAATTATATAGCCGTCAAAAAGGGAATCCCAACAGAATTAGTGAATAGGAGTAGCTTTGGCCATAATATTTCTAGTGTGGCTGAAACTGGAAAAAGTTTCCGGATTAATATTGGAATTATATCAAAAGTGTATGCGAAAAAAGTGTTGGCCAAAAGCCTTCTGGCACTGAACAATCTGCTTCCGCGTCTTTTGAGTACTAAAATATTTCGTACTAGAATTCCCCGTCGAACAATATTACATTATATGTTTTCTGCTAGAAGAGTGTGGTTTCAAAATCATTCAGTATCGTTGAAGGAAATAAATGCAAATATAAATTCGTATAATAATACAAAGCATCAAATGTGGAAACAAAAAAAACTGAAGAAAACGAAACAACCAAGAGAACCAACACTTGTTCAAAATTGGAGCACAAAAGATACAGTTTTTCAGTTGCTATGCAAAAAAGGAGATTCAGGTGGTAGAAAGGTGTCCGTCCAAATTATGAGACTAAAGAAGTACGTTGATTTATTAACGAATTACATTACTATGTATATTCGTAAAAATGGAAAAGTAAACTTTATTGAGCCTCTGAAAAAAATATTAATACAATTAGATTATTTTATTTTATTTTATTTTTATTAAACACCGCCAAGCTCTGGCTGAATATAATGTGGGTTTTGATTGAGGTTTGGCAGGAAAAGAGTGCAAGACTGTTACATATTTAAAATAATAAACAATTTGTAGCAATAGGTTTCGATAACTATCAGTTCTCGCCTCGTTAAAAACCATGCTCTTTTCGTAAATTATGCGGTAATCACAATAGTAGGAACATGAAAACGAAAACAGTCATGCAACCAAGATGGAAATGCCTGATATTAGTCTATGCAAACGGTCCAAGATAACCTTTGGTAAACGTTTCCAAGGGACAAAGGCTATGTGAAGCGTTTAATTACGCGTTAATTTGAGACTCTAGGACAGCAAAAGTCGTCGCTCAATTTATACCGGTAGATAAATTGACGAGAAGTTTTACGTCTGTAAAGGCAGATCCATGTCGATTGCAGAGTGCATTGAGTTGACATGGACTATGATTTGAAACGTAACTAGAGCATTTGATGCTATTTGATAAATAATTCAAATTTGATTTCAATGATAAGAATATTAAGTCGCCAACTCATGGATGGCTTTAACAAAGAACAAAATGAATTTACAATAAATAAGTGTAAACATCACAGAAAGGTATCATCATTTCAATACATATGGAAGGAATGTACGGAAAATAATTCGTCAGAATTTTAGTATTGATTTTTGCTGCGTGATTTGTGTGGGCTCATGTTTGTTGCAATCAGCGGCATCCCAAAGAAAATGGCACACGGACAATCTGTGTTGTCCTTGACGGGTTCGTCCGTTTGAGATCATGGGTCGGGTTTAACGGCAACATGAAAATCGTAATTCCATAATTAGTGTGGGTAGTATCTACGTGTTCTCGTAGAGAACATATACAAATAAATGAGGTTACCTGGATGAAAAATTGACGAGGCGGCCAGGTAGTCATTTGAGTTTGCAAAGCGATCCAAAAGTGGTGTCCGCCATTTTGCGAACCGATGATGCAAAATTCGTCTTCGAGGTAGCTCTTGTGAACAATTGTGGCACCATGTTCGCCATTTTGCACATTTGAGGAATTGGAGCCTCGCGCACCAACTTCATGTGCTTGTCATTGACCTTGAATTGCTCACTGTGTCTCAACGAACGGCCATTATGGAATGAGACTTGGTCACTAACTGTTGGACAGTTAGCGTTACCGTTGATGATGTCGTAGAAAAATGTCAATGACGCGTTGACACGTCGACGGCGAAGACTAATCATGTTCAAGTCTGACAATCGCTGCTCATACGGTGTGATTGAATATTGGTTATGCACGGATGGGTATTCACGACGAGCGTACATAGTGAATTGGCGTTGCACGGATTCAATTTTGTCGCTGTGGATCTTGTGGAATGGAAGCCATACCATGGCGCAGTAGTCGAGGTGGGATTGAACCAATGCAAAATACAGCGACTTTAGTGTGGTAACGTCGGTGATATCATGGCAGAAGCGTTTGACAAAGCCAAGTGCAGCCGTTGCCTTCGAAGTGACCATGTCGATGTGTTTGGCAAAAGATAGCTTTCTGTCAATTAGAACACCCAAGTCCTTGTGTTCAGTCACTTTGTCGAAGGTATAGTCGCCATAGGTGTAGTTTGTATCCAAATGCTGACGTTTCTTGTAGATAGATAGTACTGCACATTTTTTGAGGTTAAGGTGCAGCCGATTCACGTCACACCAATGTTTAAGTTTGTCGATGGCTTGTTGCAATATCTCCGAATCTTGCTGAGATTTGATGATTTTGGCAATTTTGATATCGTCAGCAAACAATAATATCATGATGTCTGGGGGCATTTGATCCACGATGTCGTTGATGAACAGCAGGAACAGTGTTGGTCCGAGGTGGCTCCCCTGTGGGACACCCGACGACGCTGTAAAGTCGACCGACTCACTTGCTCCATGTTTGACAAATTGGGTACGATTTTCCAGGTACGACTTAAGCCATGCCAGCATGTTTTGAGGTAGATTGAATGTTTCCAACTTCTGGATCAATATGCTGTGATCAACTCGATCAAAGGCTTTCGTAAAGTCCGTGTACAGGACATCAACTTGAGCTCCAGTGTTTAAGCCACTCTGGGCGTAGTACACAAACTCGGTTAGGTTTGATGCTGTAGATCGTCCTTTCATAAAGCCATGTTGGTTAGGCGAGATGCGATCACGAACAATTTCAAGCAAATTTACGTTGACGAGATGCTCGAAGAATTTAGCGATCGTTGGTAGTTTTGCTATGCACCTGTAGTTTTCAATGTCCGATCTGGCGCCCTTTTTGAATATGGGTGATACACTCGATCGTTTCCATTCGTCGGGAAAAATGCCAGATGAAAGCGACTCATTGAAGATCTTGGTCAACGGACTAGCAAGCGTCTGAGCACACTCCTTTAAAATCAAAGGATGAATACCGTCAGGTCCAACACCTTTCTTGGTGTTGACCTTCGTCATTTCAGTCATGACAAAATCGAGGTCAAGCTGGAAACAAGAGGTGTTCTCAGACTGAGGTGACGGTTGATTATTTGGCGTCGTTGATGTGGAGTAATTGCTCCCAAAGAAGTCCGCAAATAAATTTGCTTGCTCTGATTCGCTGGATGTCTTGGTGTCACAGAATCGCATGTTTTTTGGAATGTTATCAGTGCTCTTCTTAGAGTTAACATATTGCCAAAACGAAGAAGGATCACTTTTCAAGTTTGATTTCATTTTGTCGACGTACTGATTGTATAGTTCAGTGTTTTTTGCACTGAATTCCTCGTGCAATTTTTCAAATGGCTCCTTATCATTGGTCAGCTTCCAGTAATCCCAGGCTTTTTTCCTTAAGTTCTTGAGGTGTCGAAGTTCTTTGTTTTTCCATGGACATTTTTGGTTGTTCTTGCGGACATACGTTGGAACCGTACACTGAATAGCTTCCGCTAGCACGTCATGAAGGGATGACACCTTCTCCGCAAGTGATTTGTTTGCGAATAAGTCATCGAAATTGACGGCAGCAAAATATTCGTTCATGCGCTGAAAATCAGCCCGTTTGAAGTTGAAATGCGTATTATTCTGGTTTTCGGAACCACTGTT